TCATGGGAATCTTTAAATGTTTGAAATCTTACCAGTTCAAATAACGCAATTTATTCATAAATAGATGCATGTTTGCATGAATACTAAATGGGATTTATGAGAAGAAATGCATCAATCATTAACACTATTTAAAAGGTATCTTCCACTGGAAAATCTGTCATTCTTAAAATATCTAAATAAAACTCTTCGTTTTCTCTTTTCGAAAATAATTTGTTACATGATTTCTGGATGTAACAGTGTAATGTCAGAAACTCAGTCCTAAGTTGGTTGGCCTAAATATTAAATATACTATGAGTTGAGGATAGTGCGTATTATTCAAAAGATCACACAACAAAGTGACAAATTATGTATTGGAATGTTAGTGGTATGGATTCAAGTGAGATTTAAGTTGTTTCATTCCCACGAATTTGAATTTTGTTGATATTGTAACTGCTGAAATAAAATAAGTACGGTCTTTTCATCACTTGAACCACTTATAAATAACAGGAAAAAAATGACCAAAATCAACCATTGATCAGGAAATAACTATCATGATTTCTCGACCAACTCAAATTGAACTTTAAGTATAACCAGTTCTAGTGAAATGACCTGTAACTGTTTGAAGTGTTGGCATGAACACATCGACAGATATTGTATGAAAGGCAGTTTTGGAATTTACGACAGATTGAAATAACTTAACGTCTAAGATAAAACTATGATATGTTTAGATGTAGCGTATTTACTCAAAAGTTTAATATTGATAAAAACTGTCAGTCAGATTAGTAGATATGTGAATATGCAAGTAATGAATTTTCAGACGGTGGTCTGAGTGTAATTGGTTTTAGAATGTTATGTGAATGTCAGTTTCAAATTGTGATGAAAATTGTTTGGATTTGCAGTGGATCCACTACTTTGCCTTATATTAGATCACTTCCCAATTTGACTAGGAAACGGTTCGTGAGATACATTTATTGAAAAATTTTCACTTTGTGATTAGACTGTGATGTTGGTTCAACTTAATGAAACTGATTTAGTTACGAATTTCACTTTTGAAGAAGGGTTATAGAATGAAGTAACCCGAATGAACTGACAGTCGATAGAAAGAAGTTCGCATAGAAACAATAGAATATTAAACACTTTCTTTCTCCTCAGTACAAACGAAACATTGTCTCTAACCTCACTTAAAAGTGAGAGCAATAAGTTTAGAGGATACGACTTAAGGAGAATTAAAGACATTATCTGACTTTTTAATTAATTGCAGTTATCCAGAGAAGTTCATTAGGAAACACATCAATGCACGGATAGAGGGTAACACACGCTGATATTAGACAAGTCAGCATCTCACAAGTGAAGTCCTGAGGAAAGGTGCATAATGCTGTAATAAGTGGGGAGCTATAAGGATCAGTCAGATGAATATTTGACAAAAGAATATTCCAGCTGATGTTTGCGATACATTTAGATTTTATGCGCATACTAGATGGCAAAGTGCCTATATGAGGGAAGTTTTGTTGTGTTTGGCTTTTTCGCACTGCGATGGAGACAGTTTCATGTGTGGAAGCATTCTGAGTCGGACAAGGTGGAGGTGTTCTAAAAGGCTTCCACGGTTTGATATTAGTTCACTTCGTTGAAACTTTCCAAGAAGTCAGTAACAGTCAACCACATTCAAATATTTTCCCTTTTCCCTCTGACTTGCCTAAAGTCCTAGAACATGAAATAATGCAAGTACCCTGAGATATTTTCAAAAAAGTAGGAGTGGCAACCATCTCTGTTATCTTGCTCAGGTTTATTATCTGAACGTTCTTCTGTAACATATTGCACCTGCTCTTCAAAATGTCAACATTCAAAGAACGTCTTCGCTAACCCATTATATTAGTAAGTATTATCATATCTATTTTTCGCCCCCATCCATTCATTAAAATTTGATCTATTTTCTTTGTTTATTGAAGTGGGAATTCAAATACACGTCAACACTTGCTCACAAAACTTTTCATTATGTTTTGTATTCCGTTTTTATATTGATAATTATTCTTAACAAGTTCATAACGAAAACAACATTAATTCATTTTAAGCTTGACTGACGATAATTCCGAACTATTAGGTTCGTTATCATTCATAACCTTTCATTTTTCATAAACAGTTTCTACTGTAGATGATTTTCACCATGCAGACTTCCATGGTGCGCCTTAGCATCTTTGTAATAATTTTCATCTGGATTTCACCGATGTTTGATTCTGACATAATCAGTCGCAAGTTTTTTAGTACAGGAATTCACCGACTGTTTGACTGTTCAAAGATGTTACTGTTTTGTGTCACAATACTGAGATAGGCTTACTGTTGGGTGAAATGTAATCCAAATTCCTACCTTCTATATTACCGCTTGTTTGTAAAAAATGAGCTAATTAATCCGCTAAAAGACCAGAATTCCCGAAGAAAAGATTCAGTGAAGGACTAAATTTTTCAGTTTTGTTATTTTATTCAGAAAGATGAATGGAAGCACGCCTTCTCCTTGCTTTACCATCAGATTTTAGCAACTTTACGTAAGTAGGCCTTTAAAAACTACATGCCAAAATAATCGTCCATCTTGATCCAGTGATAATCAACAGTAAAAAGAGTTAAATAGTCAGTTAACAACTAAGCGAGAATCTGATTCAAAAGTAACGAATAAAAATAAGCTTCCCAAGCTTTACACAAAACACACTGACTGATTTTTATTTTCACTGTCTGAAACCATTTCTTTCAGTGATTACTAGTAGGAAAACAGGATCGTTCAAATCCTTTTATCTCTATAAACACTACCTCATTTGAAACTAAGTAGCTATCAAATAAAATTGCGGCATCTGTGCAGACTTCTGAGTACTTGGTATTATTATCATTAAAAGGAAGTGATAGTCTGTTATTCGATTATTAAGATTGTTCAGTATGTCCAAACGACATAGCTATACATATGAACTATGATTAAGAATTGACCGAAGAGTATGGTGAATATTAGGCACTGAGTAAAAGGTTGATATTAGATACAGTTTCTACTTGTGTAAGTCGCAGCGTGTTTTAAATTAAATAATCCCAAAGCTTCACACAGAAGTCCGATCTGAGCTTCTTTAGGGAAAAATAAGCTATTCATGAACATCTTTTAAGTGAGGTCTTTTTATGAGCTCCAAGTTGATTTCGTGTGTTCTATAGAACCACCTACAATTCACAGACAAGTTCAGGAAGTTATAATGCGACAAACATACTGCAGAATTTCGTCAGAGCCCTTATCTTTTGTCTGTAAAATAAAATTTTATCATTCCTCTCTCCTAATTCTGATACACCACTTTATGAATATTAGGGTTTTGTACTACCTTTGGTTGATGTATATATATCTTTTGAACTTGTTTCGTCCAGTAAGTTAGTGTACACAGGTCATAAACACTTTTCCTCTCATAATCTTTATTTGACATTTATTTTCTCCGGCCAAAATGAGCTCATCTCTGTCCTAATAATTTTCATATACCTTTTTAAAATTACTTTTGATCTTTGCTTTCGTTAGTAAAATAAATTCTCATAACAGTTTAAATCAAACTTGGTGTTGGATTATTTTCTGAACACTCGTAATAACTATGGTGAAGACGTTGATTATATACTGCTGTTAAGAAAAACTCCAATTTTTTTCTAAGCAGTTAGTCAATTAAATTTGCATTATAACAGCAATAATTTTAATAGACCTAATGCTTAATTTTAATTCATTCGTTTTGTGTCTATTTCGCTTTCTTCTGTGATTCCACATTATGAAAGTGAAGGCCTCTAAACGTGATTATGCTAAATCAATTAGATAATTCATGGTCAAAATGTAATTAATCGAAATATAAGTTTAGGCATTCTAAAGCTTGTATTTTCAGATAAATAAATTCCTCTCTCTTGTTACAAAACCAATACTGAGGTTGGTTTCTACACTGGCAAACATTTCCTTAGAGTACACAGTTTTATCCAACAGCCAAAAATAATGATTAAAAATTAGAGTTTAAAAATAGATTGAACTATATATATGTATATATATACATATATATATATATATATATTTATCATTCTTGCTAGTCAACCATCCAGCATGGCTTGTAATATCAAGTAACTAAAATGTCCCAACTCTCTCACCCGTTTTGTGCAGAATCACTTCGAGCTAAATGCTTTTGAAGTTGATATCCACCAGGGATTAACATAAGAAAGAGTACCATTAGAAATCTGAGAACACTGGATAGTTTTCTCCCCCTTATATGGGACTCACTAGTGGTGTGCAGTCATGATGTGACTAAAAAGGTGATGGCGATTCTTATTGTTCCATTCTTCACTTTACTTAACTTATTGTCTTCCTGACATCATTAGGTAGACCCGCGGTTTCCATTATTAACACGGAAAATGTCACTTTCATTTACGTACAAGAAGTCTGTGACAGCAATGTATTCTACTGAATATTTAGTTCTGAAATACAAAACTATTCTGGCTAGCTGTATCGAATTATCATTAGCAATCTATTTAATTTTAGCAGTCATATTTTATGCAAATTTTCCAGTTAATTAGTTTGTACAAACTTCAAATTGCGATGCTCCCTATTCCATTTTTTGTATAACTTAAATTTATACGTGAAACACTTTATGACTTTTATTCAATAGATTGTTTAAAAATGTACAAAAATACTTTCAGGTTTTTATGAAACGACTGTTTCGACGCCTCTTTTTGATTTGTTTTCAATCGTATATAGTGTTTTCTGATTGGTTAAAAAATAAACAAGTATCTATTTTCCCAGTATGTCCCTATAAACTAATTCTTGTTGAAGGCTAGTAATTATACAGTGTTACTCTTACATTATATCTTATTTCTATTACTCTTTAAGAGCTGGTTAATGTACACAAATTCTTTGAGATTACCTACTGAATACTCATTTTTCGACAAAATAATACTCAGTACTTTGCGAACATTTGTGCTGGGAAGCTGCATACCCGTTCACTTTATTACCTACTAATAAATACTCATAAAATAACCAAGTCATGGAACCTGTGAGCGAAAGCTCAGTCAAGAAAACTGTACGTAAATGTAGTATACCAGTGAATCATGATGGAGCGGTTGTAGGGTTGGCTAGAAGATCTACCCTTTTCCCATTCACAACACCTCTCCCAGGTATATCAACAGCAGCATTACAGTTGGAACAGCTTATTGGACGAAATAAAAAATGGACGACTGCTGGCTGGAAATTAAGCTCTGAGTCTGGTTTAGTGTTTCGTACGCAGCTGAAAGATAAAGAATATGTTTACTTAAATGCAGCAGAATTTGGTGAGGTTGAAGTTGTTCGGGATCTACTAGAAGATATGAAACTTGATGTGAACTGTGTAGATTATATGGGACGAAATGCTCTACTCCTAGCGATGAAAAATGAAAATATTGATCTAGTGGAACTACTAGTCAATAGATTAGATTTTTATGCTGTCGAAGATGCATTACTGAATGCCATCAGTCAAGAAAAGAACCACTTAGTAAAACTGATAGTTGATCACCCACAGTATATTAGAATGGAAAAACAAAGTAAAAGTAAAGTGTCTGGACCGTCAAGTGGGACCAATAATCGTGGCAAAAGATCACAGTTCTCTTCAGATATTTCACCTTTGATGCTTGCAGCGCATATTAACAATCATGAAATTATTCAGCTGTTGTTGGATAGAGGATTGAAACTTGAAATGCCTCATGATCGAGCATGTTCATGCTTGGAATGTGAAACAATTCGTGCTGAAGTAAGTATGCTTCAAACGTTTTTTTGTGGTTTATTTGGTATCCCCAGCTGATACACAACTTTTAGTCAAATCATTTGAATACACTTTAATCAAGGTGTTTGTTAATATCCTTGATAACTGAATCTGAATTCAGTAGCAGAATAATCAGAAAGGCAAAATGCTGATATATACAGCTGTTACAGCAATAAGTCGGGAGGTTTTTGAGTTTCTCCTAATCAGAAGTGACTTCTGATATATATATATGTTTACAGTTTGTTTTATGTTCTACTTCTCATGAATTTTCAATAAGGTTTTAGTTAGAAGTATTTCTCATCAGCGTGTCGAACAAATCTGATTAATACAGTTCCCTTCACTGTACACATCTAAGGTTTGATCAAAGTATTTTTTGGCATATGACACACTCATACAAATATGCACAGTATTAGGCATTTCTTAATTCCTAGTGATGCATAAACATGTAGGTATCCATTAGCATTTCTAACGGTGAGTATTCTTCTCAAATACGTTTTCAGAACTTTGGAAGGACTTCTCTTTCAGTTCCGTATTCTTTGAGATTTTATAAAATAGACTATGCATCAAATGACACTTACCGATTACCTTAAAATTTCCTAATTTTGAAAGAGAATCTAAGCCTCTGAGTCCCACTTCCAATTCAACGAATAAAGTATGATTGTTAAAAGCCTCCTTCGATCTTTCAGACTGAGAAACGTTAGATAGTAGGACATCCCTGTTCCCTTTTGTTTGCTGAAAACCAGTAAAAGATGGTAACACTAAACCATTTGGACAATGAACCACTTCTCTTACTTATCAAACGAATGATAAGTTGAAAACATGTGTTATATCTGTTTATCAGTTGCCAAGATTGGGAACAATGCATTGAGGTATCATATAGCTCAGTTTCGTTTCGATATTGGTAATGAGCTTGACAGCATTTTATGGCTGTAAACAACTTAAAAACATGAATATTGTACCTAGAAGATTGAGAGGTTTTGTATTAACTAAAACCGATATTTTTTACCCAGTATATAAAACAATGCTGTATGTTGGCTACTTCATAAGGCCACAACTGCATATACCCTGATTTCGGATTATTCGACCTAAAGAAACATACCAGAGTAGGTGTCAGTATAAATCATAAACACGTAAGAATCGTTGTGTGCAGTCAAACTAGTCAGTAATCTAAACAAATACATATCACATCGTTATAGCCATTAATCCATGCATCAGAGTAGTATTTTCGCTTTGTATAAATGACTTAGAAAAGCAGCTTCATTATCAATAAATAAATAACCGTCAGTATCTTTGTATTAAATGAAAACGTTAAACCACTACTTTATTACATATGCGTGTGTTATTATCAGTATATCACTGTAACTCTCTTAAAAACAGATCAAAACCCTATTCAAAGATATGCCATAAGATATAATAAAAATGCAGCTGCCTGCTGAATTGAGATATACCAATTTATTCAGTGTTCGGGTTAAAAGTATAAACGCAGAGAAACCAAAAAGCTTTTAGAAAGGTCTAAATTTTCCTTCTCTTTGTTATTTCTAACTAGCTCGGAATGGTAACACGATGGTATCACTCACAAAGATTGATGAAACGCGATTAGGCAAGATGTAAACGGACTTGACATTCACTACAGTTTTCTGCGTAATTCTTCTACTTTACACTCGTGTTTATGGGTAGTTCAGGCTTATAAAATTGTCACCATTTCATAGACAGACAATTTGAGGCAGTGGAAAAAAGAATATTAGAAATATACCGTCTTCTTATACTTTTATAAGTTAACTACCGCTTGCGCAGAAATTATTCATAGCAGTTTATCACGCACCAGTTAACATTAATACCTAAGCTTCTTTCTTTAATTCAATGCTATATTGCTGATAATTAAACCGTTTATATTTGTGAAGAGTGGATTTCCATTTTCAAGGTAATAATATTCATTTTGAAGTTGAGTTTAAATGTTAAAATGGGAAAACCGAAAACAAACAGAACTACTTTTCAGTTATTCTAATGAATAAAAATATTCTGATAAAGGTAAAAGTAAACTGAGTTTTTGAGAGCATATGAATTCCAAACAGCATAAATTGCATGATTTTGCCTTCTGAAGTTTATCTAGATAATGATGAGGGTATAAGAAAGTTTAACCTTCACACTGATTGGGATGCAAAGTACTGGCTACTTAGTAAGTGTGACTATGATGGATGGGCGGTTATGTACCTTTCATTGAAATGATAGTCAAGAAGAACCTTCGGTATCTGAAGTGAAGTTGAAACTTGGGCTTTGAAGCTTAGCCGGTAGAATGCCAGGCCAAGATGCAAAAGGCACAAGTTTGAATGCTGTTGCAACTCCGGTTTTCATTTCAACTGCAATTATAGACTTGAATGAATAAAAAAATTCTGTCGAACCATAGGTTTCTGTAATATTTTCTTTAACACTAGTGAACACATCAATGAAATACTTTACTCGTTATCTATGGATTTAATCCTGACTATTTTTAAACCAAGGCATTCATTTACGGTAAAATCAATTTCAAAGATGATGGTTCTATTGAAAATTTCTCATTTTGTTTCCAGTCATATGATTATTAGATGCTAGGAAATTTCATGACAGCTTTGTATGGAGAGAGATAATATGCATACCAAAACAAGATTTGATAATCAAACCACGACAGTCCTGAATCATACACGACTCAGGTTCAATTAAACAAAAGATAAAAGTGGCATTATTTATCTTGAATTAAGATCAGTTGCAGGATTTACAATAATCTGACTACTTTCACCTGAAAAACCAAGAATTATGGGATTATATGATTCTGTACCAACTGTTTTGCATGAGAACCTCTTACAGAGTCTTATTAGTAACTGCCAACCATCTTCCATTTCTTCCTACCTATATTGCTTCTAAATCAGAGCACTATAGATGTCAGACACAGAATCCTAATTCCCTATATTTAAGTAGATAAGGTGAAATTCAGCTGAGAGACCCATATATGTTGATCAGAAATGTGGAGGTAAGTGGAATTAGTGATAAACAAAACAAGGTGATTACTGACAATTCCTTGACCATATTTCAATACGCTTGTCTAACATTTTTCCCATTCAGTTGAATGTAAGGAATATAAGTGTATGCAAATAAGTTCCTGCTGTAAATTGTTGAAATATATTTACGTATTTATTGCTTGGGAAACTACTTCAGTTTATGCTATGTACGATTAGACTATAATGGTTGGACACCACTAAAGCATGAAAATAATTTTGAAATAGAGCAAGGACTGGCTTTCTAAGAAATATCTCAAAGTACAAAGGGTCAAATAAAGGTTGCATAAATAGAATAAGTATAGAAATTATGCAATCTTTTAAAATCCATATCAACAGTTCTTCTACACTTTCTTCAAATGCATTGGCCTGTTTCAGTCTTGGGAGAATCTCATACCGCTCTACAAAGAATAAAGCATGTATTTTTAATTCTTGATCTGATGAATAATTTTCTTCCGATGTTCATCACATTACTATATCAATACGAGATAGGAGTTGAGGTGAAGTATGCGATTTGTTGGTGAAATACATGTTAAAGGAGCAGCTTAAACAAACTTCACAAGATATATTGTTTTTTAAGAGCAGTTTGCCACAATATTTGCTTGGTGGATACGAAACAAACTTTCTCTTACTTTTTAAGTTAACTTAAGGGTTTAAAAAATGATCATAAAATTCATTGTTACTCTAATTCTTCTTAATTTTCATGAAGTCACTTTTCTTTGTGTGTCGAACTATAATGAGAGTAGTCAAATCTTTTCAAATAATCAGAAAACATATTTATTCCTGAGGACTACTGATGTTTGAAGAAAGAAACTTAATCAGTATAAGAAATCTAATTTATCTCAGTTACACTTATCATCCTATTAAAGATTTATACTTGTATTGCCAGTTTTCTTATTTTTTTCCGGAATTATAAATAATCACATACAGATAAGCCAACAAAAACTTTTTATTTGAACTCATTTGTGAACAGCATTGTGATAGGGTTTCAGTGGACATCGAGTCCAAATTTAAGTAGGAAGAATGAAAAACTTGAACAGTAATTTCATATATATTTTGAACACAGATTTTCTTGCTGACTGTACTCAAATTAAAGTGGGACAGTCACAAACAGCAGTTACCTTGAGAGCTGATTTCTACTAGGATAAACAGAGTTGAAGTATTTCTGAATTTGTTGTGAAATTAAAATTTTTTAAATAAATCTGCTGGTTTCAGTAGAATATATTTCATATTATTCATGTGTGCTAACCAATATACACTTTAATCAAATTGATAGCGTTATCTACTCACTCCTCTAACAACAATGATCACTTTCGATAGATAAAAGCAAAATATGCTAAATTTTTTGTTTCAGCGACTAAAGAACAGTTGATTATCTAATAACTGAAAGCTTCATAATACAAAAACAGCTGCAAAATGTTCGCCACTGATTCATATTACCTTTAGTGTACTAAAATTTAGGTTACTGTGTGTGCGAGATTTCATTACATAAAGTTGTTAATAACTCTATAAAATTTTGCTTTCAGATACATACTTCACTTTTAATTCTTTTGTCTACTCTTAAGTTACTTACAATAGCAATTTACATTAAAACCTTCGCTACATTAATCTAATATAAGTCCTTATTTTTACAAAAAAACACTAATTATGTCTTAAATAATGTATTAACTGATTACTCTGGGATTGTATTTAAAGACTGACCATGCCCGTTTAAAATAATGTGCCGGTTTCAAGGATTTACGCTACCGTATAAGCACTAAGAATATTAAGTTTCGGTTACTAAGCTAACAATATTTACCACTGTTTATTTATGTATGCAAAAAAAATCCCAGTACACTAAACTACACTTCTTAAAATATTAACTAACAACAACATTTAGATGGTGTACGTAATTAAAAATTTGCCATGGTTATAATAAAACCGTAATATGAAAATGAACGCACATTATTCTGTCAATAG